TGTTGTTCATAAATTTGCAAAGAATGCCGTCAATCCCATCATACAAATCATTAATGAAGATGTTAAATAATACCAAACTTTATTTGCTTTGGAAAAAAAGTTTTCAAATATATATAACCTATTAGTTGTATGCAAAAGTGATAATAATCCAGTTTTGTACATAAATGATGTGCATCCATTTGGCCAGACACACCTTTATGATTTTCCATATCAGTATCTTGACACATTGGTTACTGTAAACACATCGCATATAGGGTTAAGCATATACAGCCTGATTCTGCACTGCCCTGGTATTTTGTATGGTCATTTATATCTGTGAAAAAGTGCTGGCAGATCAGAACAGGCAAGTTTTGCATATTAGTGCTAAGAACTCTACAAGGGGCAGATCACTAAAGAATCAAGTTCCCTAAATTGTATTTATTGGAGACTAGAAAGTACATTTGGAAAACATCACATAATGAGCTTGCAGAACTCTGACTCCATTAAAGGAAAGCGCAGTGATGCTGCTTGCATCACTTTCCCCAGTGCATGGAATGGGGCTGGGGGGAAATGTCTCAAAGAGGTAACAATTGTATGAGGTAAATGAACAGAGAGCATATGTAACCCAACATCCATTACACTGGAACTGACAGAAAAGCCTTAGGAGATAAAATAGAGGCAGTTTAAAAGATTAGCAATTTACTTGCTCTAAATCATGTCCTAAACGCATTCCTTTGAAAATGTTATTTTCTTGTAATTATTTGTGACAGTTCACAATTCTGATTTCTCAGTACACTGGCACTTTCCCTGGTCACACACATTAGTTCCTTCTGATCTCAGTAAGGCCAGGAGAGACAGGGAGTTTAATCTTTTAATCATGCTATCAGCATGTTTTACAGAAAGACTGCTAATGCACGTGAGATTTATTATAAACTTTTTTATTAGGCTTTATTGTGGTGATGGTTTGCTGCTAAAGAAAAGAAAAACATTCAAACATAAAGCATCACAAACACATGATGTTTTTTACATCCAAGTGTCATCTTTCATCTAAAGTCATCAGGAATGTACCAAATTATAAAATAAAGCTTTTCTGCATGATCTGGACTCCTTTCCTCCTCAAGCGTTTCAGCTGCTAAAATGCAGTCCTGCTGCTGACACTTGGAAGACTCATTAATAAGTCATACGAGGAATGTTGTTCAATGACTTCCAATTTCTCATTAGTAAATCAGAATCTGGTGTTATTCTGCCTGAACGGAGGGCAGAGGAGGGAGGAGGGAGAGTATCTCAGAATAAGCAGCTCTTGCTGCATAAATCAGGGCATATCTTCAAAATGAAACCTATAACAGCAGTCACTCACATGATTAACATTCTTCTGTGAGCTGAAGGCATGAAAAAACATTAGGACTCTAAGTATTAAGGTAGCCACAGAGCAGGTTTGCTATTTGCATTTTGCAGGGAATAGCACCATGCTGCTGAGTCCATGTTTAATGAGGGGTTGGGAACGAAAGGCTCAAAGCTGCAGTGAGCAGAATGGGACGTCTGTCCCAATTAACCACAAATGTGGCTGCTCTTAGGCAAAACCTGCTTTCCAGAAAAAGCAAACCTGATGTTATTTATGAAGAAGATTTCAGATCTGATGAACTTCTTGCTATACATGCATACATTCACACACACACACACACACACACACACACACACACTCACTCTATCATGTATATTTTATTAGAGTGTATATAATGTAAAATGTGTACATTCATACACACACACATGAACACACTCAAAAGAAGGGAATTTTGCTATTATTAATTCACAGATTCTATTTACTAAGGGCATTTGGCTCATTCAGTATCCCACAGTCTCCCAGTCCATGGTCTTCCATGATGCATGGTGGTCCACTGATGAAGATCCCTGGGTGGTCAGCTCCTTGGTGGTTTTAAGGAATTGCGAGGTGGAGAGAGAGGGCCAGTCACTCACCTGGCCTCTCTGAGCATAGCTCCATGACATCAACCTGGCACCCACTTTACATGTTCACTAAGCATCCCCACAGCAAAGCCAAAACCACCTTCTGTAGGCATAGATGCTATGCATCTTGGGAATCATGGAATCAAAGAAAAGTAGGGCTGAAAGAGAACTCAGGAGGTCATTTGGAAAGCAAGGCATAGCAGGATAAGCTTAAGTAGCTAGGTGCATTCAGCTTGCGGAAAAGGCATTTAAGAGGGGGCATGATAGCAGTCTTCAAATACCTGAAGGCCTGCCATAAAGAAGAGAGAAAGCACCTTTTCTCTCTTGCTGCCAAAAGTAGAATGTGAACTAATGGCTTGAAGTTGCAGCAAGTGTAGGTTTAGGCTGGATATCAGGAAAAACTTCTTCACTGTTAAAACAGTGAGGCAGTGAAATAGACTGCCTAAGGAAATTATGGACTCTCTATCACTGAAGGTGCTCAAGAGTTTAGACAGCCAGTGATTGGGGATGCTCTAAGTGTATCTATACCTATGTTATACCGTGGGTATTTCCCATACTTTTGGGCTTTGGTGGTTGCCGCATGTCCACATCTTCCTTGAAGTGTGGGACCCAAAAGTGGACAGTACTCCAGGTGAGGCCTCACCAGTGCTGCATAGAACAAGAATTACTCCCCTTGATTTGCAAGTGACACTCTTGTTAATGTGACCCAGGATGCTGTTGGGGGGTTTTTGCAACAAGAGCCTGCTGTTGGATCATATTCAGCTTCCAGTCAACTGTAACTCCCAAGGTCTTCTCTGCAATACTGCAGTCTAGACAGTCATTCCTTCCCCATCTGTATTAGTGTCCTGCCCAACTGCCCAAGGGTTAATAACACCTAGGGCAATTAAGACCAATCTCCTCCCCTCCAATGCTCAAACACAACCACCATCCCCTGGGACCATCCCTACTCCACCCTACCCTGCAGGATTTTGCCCAAAGCACAAAACTCATTAGTTATGTCTCTGCTTACCCTTACTCTGCCCTGTCTATCCAGATTGGAAACTTTGCAGGCGTGGGTCACTCTCTCACATTGTGCACTCCTTACCCAGCATGTTAGGGCTCCCAGTGCTCCTGTATTACAATAATAATAGGAGCTGTAACCACGCTCTTGCCACTTCTATAGAGTCTGTGTTTATCCCTCCATTTTTTTTTTCTGTTTTTCCCCCACCAACCTGTGGATGGTCTAATATGACTGGCAGGCACCAGAAAGGAGAAGGGTTTATCACCATTTCCTGATGGCGTTGTTTTTCCAGGCATGTGTCTTAGTTACCAAAGTCTAATTTTGCAGACTATGTTGTCTTCATTAATGATCCAAACAGCTTCAATAAACAATTAGGGACTCTTTCATGTAAGTGTTGGTGGTGGCCTCTGCAGCCCATCCAGACGAGCTGGGAGGCACTGCTTTTGCCCTATTTGGTGTGCCTCCATACATGTCCTGTATGCTGTGAATTATTCTTACAGTCTGTTGCAGGGTTAGTCCAGCCCATTGTGAGCTGCCACTGGCAGCCTGCTTAGAGGACAACACACCACGGAGTGATTGTTGCTAATGCTGGGATTTAATGGCTATGAGGCCGGCCAGCTGTTCCACGTGAAGATGGACTTTTCACCAGGGACCATTCCTTTCCAAGCACCCACCATTCATTTCCCATCCCCACTACTGAGCAATAGTCAGCTGCTTCTCCTTTATCTTTCTCTTCAGGAGGGCCCCGCGCCCCAAGGGACCCCTTCTGCCTGATGCCAGTGAAAAGGAGAAGCCCCTTGAATGTACCTAATGGTACCAAGACCACAGCATTAGGGTCCAGGCAAGCAAGAGGCCTTCTGTGAACTTTGCCTAGCAATATTCAGATTGTTTCTGCTCACTTCCAAACTAACAACAAACATTTAGGGGGTGTACTGTAACTCCCCCCTTACAAGAAGTGCCATGAGTTAAAGCACTCCCCCCTACCCCGACCCATTCCATTTCACCCTGCCCCTTACTCCAGCTCCAGCTGGGCAAAGCCGAGCCAGCAGTTGCATGCTGCTCCCTCCCCATGCTGACATCCCTGGGGGCAGGGCTGAGCTAGTCCTTGCAGGCAGGAGCACTCAGCCCAGCCCCACAAAGGTGCAAAAAAAATTAACCTTTGAGCAAACACAAGTTCCCCAAGGCACCCTGCTCTATAGTGCCTTCAGCCAATATATGATTTATCAAGGGTTAATTTTTCATGCAGTCAGCCATTTTAAAAGTGCTCTGCAGCTGGGCAGTGTGTTATATCATGACTGTAGAGCCCTTTCAAGGGCCAATCGCACAAAACAGGTAACTTGTGTAAGCGCCCCTATCCTGTCCCTCAGGTGTGCTCTGCCCCACTCACCGCACATGGTTTGTACTTATGGACAGATTTTCTAACAGAAAAGGATTAATGTTTTTCAGAGATACTTTAAGTATCATGAGTTTGGGGGGAGGGTGCTGTGACAAAGCTAAAGGCAAAACAGTATCAATGTGTCAACACACCTCACTTCTAAACATTTGACCCAGAAGGGGCCCCTGACAAAAGCTAGGGCAGTAGGTGAAAACTCATACTTGTTAGTGTGGCTTATGCCTTTTCTAACCTGCTGAAGGTTCAAAAGGCGTCCGCACTTCCCTTGGGAATTCTTCATGTCCTTTACTTCTCTCTCCTCCTACAAACCACCAGCATGATCTGCCTCAACTCCACTGGCGCAATTCCTTGTCATCAAATTGTGGATGCAAAAAACTGGACGTTGCTGTCATAAATCAGGGCTTTAACCTTATGCTCAGCATTCCACTTATGCTTATTTTCTACTCATACGATATTTTACCTTTATGAAAAATAGGCTGTCCCTTTCAACCCGTCCTGGTTTCACCATTGACATTGTATGCATCACCTGAGCAAGCATTCTGTGTGTGTGGCCCTCTGAGGTGCATATGTTCATTTATATGTCTGATGGAGCTGATATTCAGGACTACCTGCTCTCCTACTTTTTTTATTTGTAATCCATCTCTAATGATTACGTTTCTTTTTCAGTTAGATAACCAGGATTCTGACAGCAGAGGGATGATTTCTTGCTATAAATGAGGACTCCAGTAAAGCAATTTCTATTTTACTGCTGCTTCACAACTAGCATTGCTACCTTAGATGTAGAATCCAGTCACTCTGAAACAGGTTTTCTGGGAAAGGACATACACCTAAGCCAGGAAACAGTGTCCCCAAGATCTTTATGGAATCAAGGTCATTTTGAAAGTCGGATGCTCACTTTCCTTTTTGAACATGTCCCTTTTCTCCTTCTCATTGAGCTTCAGTTTCAGTATTGGACAAAACCTTGCAATATGGAGAAGCGTAACAGCAGCACCTCTCTGCTTCAAAAGGACAAAACAGGAGGATGGAGTGATGCATTAGCAATGCACTCAGTTTCAGACATACCATCATCATGTGAGAGAATGAGAGCATAGCCTCTAGGGTTCTTCCAGCTGCGGCTGCTGATGCAAAGCTGAAGAGGAACCCAGATCTCCCTTGAGCTAGTTTGATTACTGGATAAAACAATCAGCCCAGGCAACACATGAGTATGTTTGGTTGTAACTAGTCACACACACACACCCACTCCCAACCTTGCTACGCAAGGAACTTGAACATAGTGGACAGGAAAGAACCTTTGCTCTAAACAATATATTGCCCCATGCCATCATACATGTACCCATCTAATAGGGGTGTACGAAGTGGGCCCTATTCGATTCAGATTCGGCCTGAATCGGGGACAGTGATTTGATTAGTTGATTCAGATCACCGTCCCCAATTCAATTTGGCCGAATCTGAATCTGAAGATTCGATGCTGATTCAGAGAATAAGTGATGTGGACATAGACACAGCTTTAAAAGTTTTTTCTATATACCTTGAGGTAGCAGGTGTTGCTTGTGATCGCTGCAATGCTGGGGCACATGGAGTGTCCCACAGGAGTGTGGAGGGGCCCTCCACATGCCTGGCAGCAAACCCAGGTGTGGACCGGAAGTACTTCCAGTCCACTTCCGGGTCTGCCAGGGACCACGTGGGGCCCCCTCTGCCCCACGCCCTCCTAGCCCAGCAATCAGCTGCAGAGGGACCTCACCTGTCCCGCCCCAGACCCAGGAGGCACCAGTCACCAAGCCAGGGGGCACAGTGGGGGGGCCTGGCGTGCTCCCTGGCGGACCCGGAATTGGAACAGAAGTACTTCTGGTCTACTTCTGGGTCTGCTGCCAAGCGCACTGGAGAGCCCTCCATGCGCCCCACCATCGCAGCATTCATGAGCCCCTGCTACCTAGAGGTATGTAGAAAAAACACTTAAAGCTGTCTCTATGTCCGAATCTCTCCAAATCAATTTGGAGGGTTCCGATTCGATTTGGAGAGATTAAAGGGTCCTCTGATTCGATTTGGAGATTTGGCCATCGATTCAGGGACCGAAGCTTCACACAGCCATTTGGCCTTTATTGGTGCATTACAAAAATCATGGATAAATCTCTTTACCCATGAGCTGTTATCAGCACGCTTAATGTCTAGTGTACATTGATAAAGCCAGAATTTTTGTTTTGTTAACAACTGGTATGTCTACATCCTTTCATTAGGCATTTTTCACCAACCAAGAGGCTTGGAAAAACAGGCCCATAACCTAAACAACATTTCAACAATGAGTTCTATTGCCTGGTGCAAAAGAGAAAGCAGAAAAGATTAGAGAAAGTGTAGCATCCCAGTGACCTCATCCTCCCAGAGAAGCTAGAACCACATGGGAAAGGAGAGGATTACAACACAAACTACTGCCAAACCAGTGCTGTAAGAAGAGCTCTCTCTTTTTAGAGTCCATTTCGGTCACCTTTTCCCAGGTGACAGAACACCTAACTCTATTAAAATAAATGGGACTATTTGGAGAGTCAGATGTATTCAGTGTGAGCAAAGTGGTAGAATATGGCCCTGAACTTTCATGTACTAGTACACCATGCCTGCTGTTCACTCGTCTATATGCACTCAGGGATGATATATTTTCTGCAACCACACACACTATAATTTTGTATCAGATAGAAGTCTGATACTCAAATGTATGGCTCTGCATGTCCCATAGGTTTCATAAATAGATAATGTTCTATTGGCCTGAGATGTTAACCAACATTTGGAACCCTGCAACTTAGTTCCCTTATTTTAAGGAGAAATTGATAATGGGGTTAGGTATTACTGGGATGCAATCCTTTCTATTTTAAAAAAGAAGATACTGTTTCCCTGAACACAGAAGGATTCAGACAAGGGCTTCAAGCCTCTTTTAGCTATCACTTTGCCCAAGAGTGCTCTCTCTCATTGCCTTCTTTCTCAGGATCCCACTACAGGAACTTCTTTTGCTCTTTCTGTGTTTCTCTGCTGTTTCTGTCATGCAAAGGCTGAGAGGGGACTTGGTAGCAGCTTACCACAACATCAGGGAGTACATCAAGGGCTCGGCAAACAACTGTTCACCAGGGCACCCTTGGGGAAAACCAGGAGTAATGGCCACAAACTCCTGGAAGACCCTTTCAGGCTTAACTCTAGGAAAAACTTCTTCACAGTCAGGGTGTCCAAACTATGGAATAAGCTCCCCGCAGAGGTGGTGCAATCACCTACCCTGGAAATCTTCAAGAGGAGACTGGACGGTCACCTCGCTGGGGTTACCTGACACTAGTTATCTTTCCTGCCTAGTGCAGGGGGCTGGACCCAATGATCTTTCAAGGTCCCTTCCAGCCTTACAATCTATGAATCTATAAATATGGGCATTCAGTCAATGTCCCAGACCGAGATCAGTTTTCAGGGGAGCCCTGTGAACTACATGGTTCAGTTTCTACTCCAGCCCTGCCATGTGCCAGTGTTTTGGGTTCTAGCTCCTATTGCTTTGGCTACCCGATTCCATAAAGGGGCGTGATTGTTTCTTACACTTATACAGAATGAAAGTGTTTTATCAGGATTTTATATATCACTCCAAAACACACACACACACACACACACACACACACACACATGGGCATATGCATACCTCCAGTATGCCCATTTGTACAGTATCCAGATGGCATGAACTAGAACCTCAGGTGACAGAATCCAACTCTGTTGAAATTAATGCCCACTGATACCAGCCCATATATTATTAAGGAGCTCATCAGTACCACCTACAAATAAGTAAGTTCACCTCTCTTCCCCTAGTTGTTGCCTGTTCCTTCTATCTCAACAAAGCCAAGGAGCCTTGAAAAGAAGTCACCCATACTTGAATTCCATGTATGGGACTAACTATGGAATGACTAATGATCAAGGGCCTGTTCTAAAATCTTTACTATCAGTGGGAGTCTTTCCATTGAATGGACTTTGTTTCAGGCTCTGTGTGCACTAGCAGTGCCATTATCTAGACATACAGAATTTTCAAAACTGGGGATGGATTTTCAAAAGCATCCAAGTGATTTAGGAGTTGGAGTTCCATCTACTGGTATATGACTTAATGTACCATACAAAAAATACACCTTCTTCCACAAAACTTACAGACTGGTCAGGTAAGATGATGGGGTGTTTTTGATGATGCCTCAGTATATTGGTAGATCTAGAATTTTGAAAAGTAAGGTGCAGATGATGACATGCATCATAACATAAAACAACACATTTTTTCTCCAGTTAAAAATGAAGTAGAAGCTTCACTAATATGCTAGGGGCCTAGGGCTGTAATTAAGATTGAAGCAAAAACAAATATAACTTCCTTGGGATGAGTTAAAAAAAAATCTGCAGGGCTTTGAAATAGGAGCTGCATTACTAGGAGCAGCTAAAGGATAGCTGGATTGGTGAAATGTCAAGACCATTGCAAAGAAGAGAGGGTCATTAGGTCATTAACACCTGTGGAATGAAGAGTTTAGAAGGGACCAAGTAGATTACAGTGAAGGCAAGTGACTCCCCCAGCACTGCTTGACTAGAAATGCCGCTGCCACTGCCAAGTAGTTGGTTTTAAACTTTGGGTGGAGCAAGAATCAAAGGGTGGTGCAAATGCAAACTGCTTTCCTCCCCTTGTGGGTAGATGGCTAATTTCCCTACTAATCACTATTCTCTAGCAGCAGCCAAGAGCAGTCTCCAATCCCGAGTTTTCTCCCTTTATTAACACTTGGTACCCTCTCTCTGTGCCTCAGATGTCATTCAAAACACTTAAAATATACCCAGGCCTCTGCATCTGATGGAGATGCATCACAACTGGGAAGGATGAAGTCAGGCAATAAATTATGTTATCTAGACAAAATATTAATAATATTCCACTGATGCTATGGCTAAGACTGAATAAGAATGGTCTGCCTTCCTCTCCATCTATATTTATCAGTCACTTACTGTGATTGATGATCCCTCTATTCCAAATCAAACGGCCATTTCTTCCTGGCCTTCATCCTCTCCCTGTTAGCTCTCTGCCCTTCTGTGAATGGGTGGGCACTGATTATTAGAGGCAACCTGAAAATGGAACTAAGAATGGAGCCAAGTGCTGAAGTGTGTACTCATTGCTTCCACTAAATGGACTCTAGGGCCCCTTTATCACATAAAGACAGAAACTAGCCTTTCAGGAAAGTCTTTATAAGTCTCTGCCTAGTTCCACATCTGCTCTTGATGCCTACAACCTGATCCTTACCAGTGCCATAGCAACAAAGTTTGGCACCCGGGGCAAAGCCCACAGCGACAGCCCACCCTCACCTTGCGCACAGATCCAAGGGCACATGCCCCCCCACCCCCTTATGCTTGCCTGGGAGTGCACGCAGTGCTGGGAGCTGCCCTTCCCCCATCCCCATGCCCCCACAAATGAGTCGCTTGCAGCTCTGTCCCGCACCCCGCCCCAGCTAGACAGCACCTCTTGGCAATCCTTCGCTTCGGCGCCCAGGGCGGTCACCCCACTCCACCCCTGCTACAGCACTGGTCCTTACAATTCTAGGGCAGTCTTGCCTAGTGAATATGCCACCAAGGGAGGGCTACAGACAGGAGCTAGGGGATTAAGGGTCTCACAGAAGTAGGAACCAGAATTGGAGTATGAGTTACCAAATTCACAGGGGAATTCCAGAGGCAGAGTCCAAGTCACAGGTGAGGTCGGAGTTCTGAAGCCAGGGACCAA